GGTAGGCGAGAGTTATAATGGAAAAGAGGGTAAGAATAGACCGAAAGATATAAACCAAAAGATAATATAATAATAAAGGAAATAATAAACGAGTGCATTACAGGTGATCAATCAAACTCCATCTGATATATAGAGTTTTAAATGAATAAATGGAAATAAACTGAGTGAATATTGTGAAATTGTAAAGGCAAATTGCAGATGATAGATTAATGAGCTGACTTTTTCAAATTATGCAGAACAGACTGATCTTGATGAAATGTAGAGCAGATTGTTCTGAAAAAGTGTAGTTATATTTATCTTTTCATATCATTTATAGATAAATGTGTCTGAAAAGGTTTATTGATTGATGATTATTGTCAAAATATGAGGACATTCTGATCTTTGTCATAGCAAGAGCATTGAGAATTTGTTGATAAAGCTGAGAATAAAAGTTTATGAAGTTCTTCACTAAAAAAAGCTGACTGTGTAATTGAGAAATGAAAGTAAGTATTGATTCAATTTTATAAAGAACTATAAAGAATATCTGATCAGTGGCCTCTGAAGTTGCTGTGTTGATACTAAACTCAATTTGAGAAAGAAGTGTATCTCATATAGTCATAGATTCTTCAACTAACAATGATTATAAAACAATTTCCACAGTTTGATTGATATACTCTGTCTGTTCATTCACATTTGAATGGTAGACAGTTGTGAGATACAGAGCAGTATTGAAATATTTGAAAAACTTTTCTCAGAATGCATTGAGAAATCAACAATTTCAATTTACTATCAATTGTTTGAGAATTTCTCAAAAACAGATAATTTCATTAAAAAATCATACAGCTCAATGTTTGACTGAATCATTCTTTCTATCTGAAATAAATCTAATATATTTGAAAAACTTGATCATCACAGTAAGCAGCATATTATGGGAATTGTTTGATTGTGATAAGTTTGTAATGAAATTCATTGAAAGAGAAGCAAACAGCTTTTTGAAGATGTTTATGAGATGTAACTGTTTAAATTGTTGATGATGATGAGGCACTGTGATCTGACAAACAGAGTACTGATTGGTATATTTAGCAATTATTTCCTTAAACTTTGAAGTAAAAATTTGACATTGCAAATGATAAAATGTTCATGTAGCACTGCTGTGTTTTTCATGATCATAAACTTGAATTAGTATGATTGTCTATAGCTTCCGTGGTATGCAGAGGTGGGGAGCTTCATCATGAATATAATATAACAGCTTATTATTATTATTCTTCCATTATAGATGTATGCAGTCAGTGATTATAACATCTACCTGAAATACTCCAGGATTTTTCAACTTAAGAATAAGCTAATATACAAAGTCAATTTAATACATGCAATAGCAGAATTCCAGCCCAGAATCAAACACAAACAACTATTCAAACTATTTAATTTAAGAAAGAATGTCAAAAGAATGACAACAGATCAATACATTCAATGTAAAACAAATGAAATAAAGAATATAAAAAAAAGCAGCTATTAAATATAACAGCTGATTATCATCATTTCATCAAAAGTTATGATATTCATAATAATTCTGTGCTTGATCTTCAATCTGCTACACGATTTTGTGATATATTATTCAAAAATATGTGTCTTATTTAATCTCATACTGTATTTTATGTTTGAGGTCTGAATGAATTTGAATGAGATTAATTGAATATATTTGAAAGACAGTATTCAATTCTGATGCTGTGGTAGTGAGATGATAAGATATGTTGATGGGTTTTTCTGACAATTGTTTGAAAATCAGTTTTTATTTTAACAGCTGATTAATTTCCTCAGTCTTTTTGATGAAGAGTCAGAATAGAGCATCAGCATTAACATGTTTTTTTTCCTGGTTAATGTATTATTATCATTTTCATTACAAAGATTGAAAGAAAGAGTGATTATCAGTTCAAATGATTATTTAGACACTTATTTACTGAAATTATTTACAGAGCAATCTGCAACGCAATGTGATCAGTAATTATTGTAAATTTCTCATTGAAGTACTGAAGCACTTTTCACAGAAGTCAAACCAATACTGCAATCTTTAATTTTATGAATTCATAATTCTTCTCATTTTCTTTGAAAATACACAATAAAAATAAAACAGATTGTTTTTTGTCATGTTTATTTTGCTGATGAATAACTGCTCTCATACTAAATTTACTGCCACCAACATAAGCAATGAATTTATATTGAAAATTGAGAAATTTGAGAATTAGAGTGCTGCATAACTCCTCTTTAATTTTCTGTCAATATGTGTGAAGTTTTTTTGTAGATAATATTTTCTTTTTTACTCATTTTTTGCAGAGATGATTTTTAACAGAGGAGTTCTGAAAGCCTTGTGTTTTTCAAACTTGTAGTGGTTTGATCTTTTGAGCATAATGGGTGATGAATTTTCAGTAATAATCAAATAAATCTAAAGCAGTCTCTAGTTCCTGCAATGTGATAGAGAATGCTAATTGTCAGATTGCTTTAATTTTGATGTTGTGAATAGAAAGGTCTAGATAAGATACTTTATATTCTAATAAAAAGATACTGAGATAAGTAAAATGACATTTGAAAATAGATAAAGTTAGATCAGAGTTCCTGAGATAAGTTAGAGCAGCTTGAAAATCCTTCAATGCTGTTGAAAAAAAGGCAGAGAAAAGAATTATATCATTAATATAAATAAACAATGAAGACTATAGAAAGAGTTAAAGTATTGTCTTCATCATATATTAAAAAAATTCAAAATTTAAAGCAAGATCTATGTTAGATATTTTTAACTATTCAAAACCTTTATATGAAGTATAAATGCAATCTTTCAGTAGTCTTGTTTCTTAATGAGAACTTGAAAGAAATATTTGATAATGTCAAGAGTAGAAAATATGACTGCATGATTGAATGAGGATAATATTGTGTTCTGATGAAGTAAGAGATAGATGTTGAGTTAAAGCTTGGCATTGACTCAGTGGAGGTCGATTACCCTCTGTGGTTTGCCATTTCACCACACAATAAATGCTGGTGATATTGTGAAGAATAAGTGATATAGAGGAACTTTTTCTGTTCTTTTTTCACAATGAAATTCATCGAGAATGTTGTCCATGACTATGCAATCACAGGTGGAAATATTGAACAGATTTTGCTTGAGATCTTTTATATCAGTTTCATCAATGAAAGAAATGAGTATTTGAAAGTATGAGGGAAAAAAGCTTCTTAAATTGAAAGAGTAGATGGAAGATTTTTTGACAGTATTTGAATTTGAATTCAGCAGAAATGTTTGAGTGAAAATCGTTATTATTTGAAATGCAATTGAGCTGAAAAAGCAAGCTTGATGAATCATCCGAGTCACTATCTGATGTTTCTAATGGGATAGATAGATTGTCAATTGTTAGGAGAGATTTTGAAGAAGTTGAATTATCAGCGGGAAATTCCATTGAGGTCGTTATATAGCTGATAACAGAGATGGAGTGCGACAAGAAATGAATGTGACTGATTATAAATCAGACAGAGAGTTTCACAGATGTTATTCTAAGATTTGCAATTAAAACAGAGTCAATTGTGGGATTTGT